GCAGTGGGACAGACGTCTCAACGCTAAACTTCGGCAAACATTTATCAGCCCCTTACATAGACGGTTAAGTCCTTTCTGCGACGTCTGCTCATAACTGTTTACTTGATAGATTGCCATATTCTGAGTTCACATGTAAACGTGACTCACCTGCACCGCAATCTATTCATCTGATCATTTCCATACATTAAGAACAGTACGCGCCGAGAAAGGAGTCATGTCGTACACCACTGTCAATCAAGAATTCCCAATATAGCTTAATAAATCCCTGCTTATCCCAGCTTGCCAAATACTGCAGCGTAGCCTGTGGCGTGGAAAACTCGTAGTGACTTTCCTGAGGTGATATAGATGAATTCGATGCCTGTTTCTATATACAACGACTTGGACCACTGCTTAATTTGAAGGAGCATACTGATCAAGCAAGAGTAGCTTCACGTTATCCGTATCGGGCACTTTCAATGAAGTCTTCTCAGTTGATAATCTAAATGGCCACTTTCTTGGTGATCCTTGTTACTGTATAAGTTCCGTCAAAATTATATTCAAATGTTTTCGGGTAAACCAGCATTAAAATCGCAGCACGCAGGGTATTATATACTTCCAGTACACAGGTAAAAAGAAGGCTTTCCCATGACCCGTTTTTAGTCTCATTTATGATACGTGCTTTTGAGGGATACTCGCAGAGGTTTCAGTAGTGATAACCTGAAAGGTTTGTCGCAAGGAATGGCACAGCCCACCCTACACAGGATCCTTAAGATCTGTCTTGAGTCCCCATATAATTGCCAATATTCAGTGGAAAATAATGAAACTCATTAAGGCGGTTGGCGTATGATTATATTCCACGAAATCTGAGGGTTTAGTAGGTCATCTTAGAACCAGTTCAAGCAAGTTATGAGCTCACTACAACCAGTTTATCAACGGACGGCTGTCGTAGATTGCGTTAACATTTTCAGAAATTTTCGTTATCCAAAATGCATGCGTGAAGGATTTGCTGAAAATTAAAGTTTACTACAGATTGCACTTTTTGAGTTGGTTTGAAGAATTGTTTAAAACATTCAGTTGTATCACATAATTTATGAATTAAGAAAGCGGATTTTAAAAATGTGCAGCTGGGTATTTACAGTTTGGACTTTTTGTCTGATTTTTACTAGAGTATTTGGCGAGGGTATGTAATTTTTCTCTTGACTATTTGTATAGAAATTCAACCGCAACTACGAGTGTTGGCGAATAATGAACTTCAGAAGGCCAACAGCCTGTTGGTCGAGTTTGGCTTGTCGGTTGAAATTCAGTGCTCAATACCTAGAGACACCAGTCGTGGAGTCGAGTTTCTCTATCTTAGGAAGCAAACTCATGGTTCCGTACCAAGGACTATTGATATTCAAAGGACAAATTTCACTCGACTTTCCTACATCAGAATCGTAACCTTGGATGACACTGGCATTTACCTTTGTTCCTTCCGAAGTTTAACTGCCATCACCAACATTTACGTAGTAAAACGTAAGTAGGGTTCCTCCTTTCCCATTTCAGCTTTTTTATTCAATACTTTTAACAAACAATCACTGTATATAAATGAGTCTTCACTACATATGTATACATTTGTAGTGAAGACTCACTTAACTATAGTTACATGGCTAGGTATGCTAGCATACATATAATAACTTGCATACAATTTAACGGCAAAGGGCGTGAATAGCCGCATATATAACTATGTATGATTGTACACTGCAATAAAAGTGGATATTTTTATAAGGAATCGTTAAACCTCATGGTTCGTTGATTTCGACTGTACCAACTGACTGTACCTTGTGATTGCCTCTGTTTCCAAATTATTTGTGCATCCTGACTCTATTTATTAACCGCGTTGCTGCTGTGGGCCTAGTAATCACCCTGTCAGCACCAGCCTTGCCTGGCCCCGTCGAACTACCCAGGGCCACGCGGGGCAATCCGGGACTATCCGGGGCCAAGGGTGAAATAAATTTATTGTACAGATTTTTCGAAAGCAACTTTTTGTCAAAAAGTATCAATAACCATTAGTTTGCGTTTTCTTCTTTGATAAAACAATTAGGTTGGGTGTTGAAACGGGAAAATGGGGACGCTAGCCGTGAAAACATTTTTTGTGGGCGGGGCTTAACGAGTTAAAGTTCCCGTCCTCTGGTTTCGTCGAATTCAGTGGCACGTGGAGTGAATTAGACGGGGCCAGAGGATTGGGATTTCAACCCGTTAAGCCTCGCCTACGGATAATGTTTTCTGGGCTAGCGCCCCCCGTTTTCCCGTTTCAACCCCTAAATTGATTTTTTATCAAAGAAGAAGACGCAAACTAATGGTTATTGATATTTTTGGCAAAAATAGCTTTCGAAAAATATATACAAAAAATTTAGCTAATCATTGGCCCCAGATTGCCCCACCTGGCTTAGTTCCCAGCCCCGCCTAGGCCGGGGCCGTGTGCTGGCAGGGCATATGGTACAGGGTGTCCCAGAAGTAACTGACCCTTTTGATTTGCCAATAAAACGAAAATTTTTAAAGCTACGATATTGGAACTTGTTTTGTTCGAAAGAAAAACCTTTTTATGCTTTATGCGAACTAGGTTTTGAATATAATGTCTTTTAAATGATGGCCATGGTTGTTTTGAGAACTTAGGGTTCGTTTCTTTGTCATTTCCATAACGCTGCTTAGTGTATCAGGCGATAA